AAAACTAACAGATCATACTTACCTGCTCTGTGCAATGGTGTTGCTATGGGGGAAGTGGTGCAGGCTCACTCCAGAGTCCTGCTCTATGAGTCCATAAAACACAGAGCCGTGACTCGGACCCACCACCTGCTCTCTCCTCATTGGCTCACTGGCTTTGATTGACAGCAGTGAGAGCCAATGGCTACCATTGCTGTGTGTCAGCCATTGAGGAGAGAATGACCAGGGACAGCCAAGGCTCCCATGCACATCGCTGAATCGAGAGAGGGCTCAGGTGAGTATTGAAGGGTCTGTGGCAGGAGCAGCACACAAGTTTTTTTTTTACCTTTGTGCACAGAATGCATGAAGGTAAAAAAAAACCCTTCAGCCTTTACAACCACTTTAAATGCCTAAAATTATTTTTGTATATATGAGCGGTTTCTTTTTCTCAGGTAATTACAGATGTCTGTGTAAGAAATATTTCAAATTTGAAATTAGAAGTGAACTAGCTGTAAAGTGAGCCATACACAGCTAGCAAACAACATATCACCTCCTCTTGTATAAAATAATTATTTGATCCCCTGCAGATTTTGTAAGTTTGCCCACTTACAAGGAAATGAAGGGTCTATAATTTTTATCATAAGTGTATATTAAATGATAGAGACAGAATATCAAAAAAAACAACAAAAAAAAACACATGATACAAATGTTATAAATTGAGTTGCAGTTCAGTGAGTAATAGAGGTATTTGATCCCCTACTAACCAACAATAGTTCTAGCTTCCACAGACTGGCTATGTGCTGATGTGGTACACAGATTAGTCCTGTCAATTTAAGAAGGTGCTCCTAATGACAACTTGTTATGTGTATAAAAGACACCTGTCCTCTGAATCTCTTTCTTGGGCACCACCATGGGCAAGACCAAAAAACTGTCAAAGGATGTCAGGGAAAAGATTGGAGACCTGCACAAGGCTGAAATGGGCAACACGACCATCAGCAAGATGGTGAGAAGGAGACAACTGTTGGAGCAATTATTCTCAAATGGAAGAAATACAAAATAACCATCAATCGCTCTCGGTCTAGAGCTCTATGCAAGATTTCGCCTCATGGGGTAAGCATGATCATAAGAAAAGTGAGGGATCAACCCAGAATAGCACAGGAAGCAGTTGGGACCACAGTCACCAAACAAACCACTGCTTACACAATACATCGCCATGGACTGAAATCCTGCAGAGCCAGCAAGGTCCCTCTCCTCAAGAAGGCACATGTACAGGCCTGTCTGAAGTTTGCCAATGAACATCTAAATGATTCAGAAAAGGATTGGAAGAAAGTGCTGTGGTCAGATGAGACCAAAATTGAGCTCTTTGGCATTAACTCGACTTACCGTGTTTGAAGGAAGAAAAATGCTGACTTCGGCCCTAAGAACACCATCCCTACAGTCAAGCACGGAAGTGGAAACATTATGCTTTGGGGCTGTTTCTCTGCCAAAGGTACAGGCCAACTTTGCCGCATTGAAGGACCAATGGATGGGGTTATGTAAAGTAATGTAAACTCTTGGTTGAGAACGTTCTTCCCTCAGCCAGAACACTGAAGACGGGTCGTAGATGGGTCTTCCAGCATGATTATGACCCAAAACATACCAAAAATGCAACAAAGGAATGGCTCAAGAAGAAGCACATTAAGGTCATGGAGTGGCCTAGCCAATCTCCAGAACTTAATCCTATAGAAAATTTATGGAGGGAGTTGAAACTTTGAGTTTCCAAGCGACATCCAAGAAACCTTAAGGATTTAGAGAAGATCTGTAAAGAAGAGTGGACCAAAATCCTTCCTGAGATGTGTACAAACCTGGTAACCAACTAGAAACGTCTTACCCGGTGGTGTATTTTGGTTTTGTGCTTCCCTAGGCACCCCCATCTAAATTTGTCCTACCCCTTCCTGTTTAAGATCTGCCTCTCCAGGCAGTGTGACATGGGGGGCCACGGGACAGGAGGGAGGCAGCGTGATGGAGGGAGGCTGCAGGACAGGAGGGGGGCAGCGGTACAGGAGGGGGCAGCATGACAGGGGGGGGTATTTGGAAAGGAGTAGGCCATCATGACAGGTGGGGGGTAGCAGGACAAGAGGGAGGCAGCGTGACAGGGAGAGGGCAGCATGATGGGTGGGGGCAGCGTAACAGAGAGCAGCATGGCAGGGGACAGCGTGATGGGTGGGGAGGCAGTGGGACAGGTGGAGGGCAGCATGACGGGGGGGTGCATGGGACAGGAGGGGGAGCAGCGGGACAGGAGGAGTGCAGGACAGGTGAGGGGCAGTGGGACATATGGGGGGCAGTGGGGTATGTGGGGGACAGCGGGACAGAAGGGGGGAAGTGGAACAGGTGTGGAGCAGCAAGAAAGGAGGGGGCAGCAGAACAGGTGTGGGGCAGGAAGACAGGTGGGGGCAGCATGACAGGGGGCAGTGTGATGGATAGGAGGCAATGGGATGGGGGGAGGGAAGTGGGACAGGTGGGGGGCAGTGTGTCAGGGGGGGCAGTGAGACAGGAGTGGGGAAGCACCTGTCCTACAAGCTCTTACCTGTCCAGCAGCGGCTACTCCAGATGGTGTCAGGATCACTCCAGAAGGGGTGCCTGTGTCCCATCTCCCCAGGATCTCTGGCAGCAGCTTCAAAAGAGTGGGGGGCTCCTCCACCCTGTCCTTGTCCTCTTCTTCTTTCTCCTCTACAGGCCCTCCGCTGGCACCTCCTGGCCATCCTGCACATCCCGGCGCACACTGACAGTGGGCCCTGTCCCTCACACGCTCCCAGCGCACATCAGGGATCTGCCCACCACCCTCCTCCGCAGCTGGTCCCTTGGCTCGGGTGACCCTACTTGTGTGTCGGCTTGGCTGTACCCCCACCTATGGTGGCACTACCGCTGATACACACTGTGTCCCGTCTAGGGGGCAGCGCCGCCCCCCTGTAAACTGACATCCAAGGCAAATGCCTTGTTTGCCTCGTGGCAGATATGCCCCTGGTCTTACCTCTATGCTTGCCAACAAGGGTTTCTCTACCAAGTACTAAGTAATGTTTTGCTTGGGGATCAAATGCTTATTTTACTCACTGAACTGCAACTCAATTTATAACATTTGTATCATGTTTTTCTGAATTTTTGGCTGGTATTCTGTCTCTATCATTTAAAATATACCTATGATGAACATTATAGACCCTTCATTTCTTTATAAGTGGGCAAATGTACAAAATCTGCAGGGGATCAAATAATTATTTTCCCCACTGTATGTTTATCCAAGTTTTAAAGCCAAACCAGCATGAATGTTCTAAGTGAAGTCACATACTGTAGAACACTGGCAGTTTACAACTTGAAATGACAGTATAATTACTACTGAATATTTATACAATCTGTATGCCCTCTCAAGCAAACTGCAAGTATATCCTTTGGAGAAATTGATTGGAGTTAATCTTGTTTCTTATTAGCATGAGTGTAGTTGTTTTCTACGTGTAATATCAAGAAGGTGGAACTGCTAAAACAATCTATGGAAGATCTCTGGGCTCTACTGCTGCATATTATATTCATATACCCTTTTCCTGTGTTTTTCTTTATAAAAAAAATGGGGAATAGTTATCTCTTGTCCATGGCAGGTTCATTTATTCTGTTCATTCATTAGCTGATTTCCTTGACTTAAAAAACCGCTAGAAATACTCCAAAATCATTTCGCCTGACACACCTGTTCACTTCCTATGGGCCAGAGCAATTTTTATGTTTCTGCTGTGGATTTCTTGATTTGGCAATAATTTTGTCATTACTAAAGATAATAAGATACACATCTTTTTTTTGTTCGTTTTTATTTATTTAAATTGTTTTTAGAGATAAACAAGGCTTTCTGTTCATGATATTGTCTTGCAACAATGCTTTTTTTTCTCAATCCTTAGACAATAAAATTCAACAAAACTAAACAAAATGCACTCTTTTTTTGAACAGTGTTAAGTTTAAAAATAAATAGTGTTACTGCAGACAAAAGTGCATAGTTTATTCAGTAATTTTTCCTGTGTAAAATGACACTAAAATTATGATACTGACATATGCACAAAGCTTATTAAAATGGAAAATGTGTAAATGTATGGTAAATGTGTAAAAATATTAACAAAAAAGATTAAATATTAATGATTAATAAAATAGAAACAAATAAAAAATCAGCAGGAAAATAACAGTTGAAGAGAGAAGGAGACTAAGGAGTTAATTAGGGTTGATTAGAGTAAACGAAGGGTTAATAAGGGGTTAAGGGTTGGTTAGAGTAAACAAAGGGTTAATAAGGAGTTAAGCAGAGGAACATTTAATTAAAAAAAATTAAAAATAAACCTTTTTTTTTTACTAGTCAGGCTTATCCCTGACAAGGTAATCCCTTTGATCTGCAGATGAATGAACAGAATGATACAAAAATAACAATATGTTACTTTTTATTTTTGTATAATCATATCTGGAGCAGAGTTTATAAACACTGATTCAGACTGCTTTTTTAACAGTTACAGCTGCCGACTTCTCTGAATAAACAAAGCTGACATTTACTGTATACTGGGAGGGGGTCCCAGAAGCAGGGCAGAGATACTGAACATGCTACACACTTCCTGGTTATATTGATGACATTTTTTTGGGCATGCTACACAAATGCACACGGTACTGATGTTTGAACATCTGCTTCTTTGGCAGTAAATTCAGGCATTTGTTTTGCGCGTATTCATGCACATAATATATTCTTAGGGAAAATGAATTAATATTTATGCTCAAATGCATGCATTTGCAAGCAAATGCACAAATTATGCATAAATTACTGACAAAAATGCAGATTTTCCTATTTTTTTTTATGAGGAATATGAGGCGCTTGTTTACGCGCCTGTGTGCCCAGGCACAGTGTATATAATGGGCTACATTGTAAATGATATGTTGAGCTTTTTCAAGCTGTAGTGTGCAAGAGGACTAAACCAGTAAGTTAAAATAAGATAAGAAATTAAATTCAGTTAATTAGTATATAAATGGCTTACCTGGCTGTGTGTATGTAGTTTAAAATGCTAGATATAGCAAAGTAAGAGATGCTGAGTACTCCTGATACCCCAAACGACAGAATCACAAGTCCACACAGAACACAAAGTAATGTTACTCCTCCCACTGCTATAACAATTCCTAAGAAACAAGACAAAAATAATGAAGTAGCACAAACAGAATTGCACTGAAAATAGTATAACTGTTAATATATTTAAAAAACTTCTCAACATAACAAGGCTAAAAAAATGCCATGTTGAAAGTACAAATCTATAACAATCAAAAATATTTTTTCACTGTTCTGATTCTGAAATCTAACTGGTTGCTGTGCATTACTTATACTTGATAATTGCACTGCCTTACAAAAGTTGTATTTGTGAAGTGGATGTGTCAGATTTCGGTGGTACTCACTTCCCTAAAGCAAAGCTGCAGTCATTTTTGTGTTTATTAAAAGTCAGCAGCTACAAAAACTGTAGCTGCTGACTTTTAATAAAACACACACTTACCTGTCCCAGGATCCAGCGATGTGCTCACCCACGCTGTCCTTTCTCTCCCTCTTCTCTCCCTGGCGCCAGCATCACAACTGTGGGCACCAGGCTGTGACAGCTTGCAGCTTCACAGCTGGGTGTCCACTGCGCATGTACAAGTTGTGCTATGCCTCCTGATTGGTGCAGCAGTATTCTGGGACCTGTGAATGTCCCAGAAGACTGCATGGGGGAAGGAGGGAGGCCAAACTTCTGGCTTAGTTTGCTATGACGGAAGTGCCTGTCAAAACCAGGTATCCGCTCCCCCACAAAAAGTGCCAAATGTGGCAGTAGAAGGGGGTGGGGGAGGGAGGCAGACAAGCGGAGTAATTGTACAGCTGTAGCATGGATGCCAAATACTTCACACAAAGAGCTTTACAGAGGAGGAATAGAGGTTAAAATCAATGGCCACGAAACTGGCCTACTATAATGAAAGCAGATTATTCTGGGCCATTGGATACTGAAGATACTAGAGTGTTCCACTGGAATTCGGAGCAATGAGTGTTAAAAAGGAGACATCAGAATTTAATGAGTTATTAACAGGGACTGTGTCACGGAGTCCAGGAACAGTGGAATTATTGCTGGGGACATGGGAGATGGTGCATGGAATTTTTGCTTGTAATTGTTTAAACAAAAAATAGGGCCACTGATCCAGAGTTAGTGGAGATGATACTGATATTTGGCGTGGTGCAACGAATTAATGTTAGGGATTACTTCACATGTGTTGTGGACTGTGGAGTGCTGAGAGGTTAAAGCACATCCATTTGATACAGAATGTTGATGGTTTAACATATATGAGCTGGGTACAGATAATGCATATGGACTGAGGACTAGACATTGAGGAGTTATCAGATATGCAAAGAGAATAGGTGTTGAGGGGTTAATGTACCTGTGCTGGGTAATAGAGTGTTACAGCATATATGTGAGGACAGGTCCCTGAGGAGTTTATGCACAATAACTGAATATGTATCACTGAGGGGGGAATGCACATGTTTTTGAAGATGCTTACATATACAGCTTCACTGAGGGAATAATGTTTATCAAACCGGAAGGTTGAGGGCTTAACACTTCTACTGTGACAGCTTATCACTGAGAGATTAATGCACAAACACTGCAGATTGGTCACTGATGTGTTAATGCACATACACTTTAGAATGGCCACTGATTAGTTAACGCTGAACTCTAGGGAAAGGAAAAGGCTCTCTTACCATGGGGCTGCCTCAGCTCTACGATAGCAAATATTATCGAGGTCTAGGGGGGCACAAAGAGAATTTTTGTGTACTTGATCTTCCTTGCCTGCAGGCTCCTCCAGGCTATAAGACTGGTCCCCGTAACCTCTTCTCCAGTAGTCGCAGGTTCTCTGGTGTCATCAAGTCTGATGCAGAACCCAAAGCCCTGCATTGAACCTGAGGAAACAAGGGACATAGGGGGGAAGAGGAGATTGCCATCTGCTTGGGAAGTGGAGGACTGGGTAAGTAAAACTGATTTTGCAGCCCCCTAGACCTAAAGAGCATTTAACTCTTTCAGGGGAGGGGAGTTTTGGTGGTTACTACTGCAAGGGAACATTTTTCCTTTTCTCAGAGATGGGATTCAATGCACATGCTTTGCTGTTCTAAAACTGGCAATATCTCTGTGCACTGGAGGGTATCTTACTGCTGGTTGCTTATTGTTTGGGGAGTCACGTTTGTGTGCTAGAGGCAGAATACATGTGAAAGATGCGTATACAAACTCAGGCACACACAAATGCACACACCCTGATGCATGTACAAATACACCCCTGGACTACACAATGGGAAGCAATGAACAACTTTACTTCTGAAGAGGGGCAGAGACTGCTGCTAATCTGAGCTTCATTCTTAGTGCTGAACCTCCAGTCTATGTGTCAGTGTGTAGTTTGCAATGTATATGAGAAGGACATGGACGGTGTTTAATATGCTAGTGTGCTGGAGTAGGGATCTCACCGAGAAAGATCAATCTGTATGCTGGAGTTGGGATCTCACCGAGAAAGACTAATCTGTATGCTGGAGTTGGGATCTCACCGAGAAAGACCAATCTGTATGCTGGAGTTGGGATCTCACCGAGAAAGACCAATCTGTATGCTGGGGTTGGGATCTCACCGAGAAAGACCAATCTGTATGCTGGAGTTGGGATCTCACCGAGAAAGACCAATCTGTATGCTGGAGTTGGGATCTCACCGAGAAAGACCAATCTGTATGCTGGAGTTGGGATCTCACCGGGAAAGACCAATCTGTATGCTGGAGTTGGGATCTCACCGGGAAAGATCAATCTGTATGCTGGAGTTGGGATCTCACCGAGAAAGATCAATCTGTTTGCTGGAGTTGGAATCTCACCGAGAAAAGGTGTGTGTGGTGTGTGTGTACTGAAGATGGGATCTCATTTGGAGAGACCAATCTGTGTGCTGGAGGTTGGATCTCACTGGAGAGAGACTAGTTTGTATATGTGTGTCTGTGCATGTGTATGTCTGCTGGAGGTGGGACATAACTGGAGAAAGATCAATATGTTTGGGAGGTAGGAACTCACTAGGAAAAGACCAATTTGTATGCTTCTTTGATAATTTGCAGGTATAAAGTTTCTCCGTCAATCATCTCTCCCTGCAGCTCTGATCTAAACTGTGTAAGAAGATTTTGCATTGAACTTTGACTTTCCTACTTGCAGTATGTGGGATTTCCTTTTGTTTGGCAGTAGGGTTAACAAGCAGTGTCAGAAGCAGAGCCAGAAGGAGTGGCATTGAAAGAAAAATGTTGATGGAACTTCACAATGAAGGTATGGAAGCAAATACAACCTGCCCACTGCTCTTTCCCTTATTTAATATGTAAATTCAGTCCGAATTGATCTTTTAGCTGGTTGCCATTGGTTGAACATTAGCTTACTATTCTGTAACTCTTCATTGATTATGGATCACGCCTCTACCCCAAGCTAAATTATGAATTTTTGAGTTAAGTGCTTCTAAAACTAGGAACGGCTGAAATTCCAAGTTAAAGTGCTTTGCATAAGTCATTTTCTACATTTTGTAGTGATACAACCTAAAATTAAACTGGATTTACTTGAAATTTTTACTATTTGATTCATACAACATACTTGAACTGTCAATGTCCACATATTTTTTTCTTTGTACAGAGACTCAAAAGATAACCAAAAAAGGACAGTCACATTCCGATTCAATTTTTGGCAGAACCACCATGTCTAGAATTACATCTGCAAGCTTTCAGGACAAGTCTACACTAGCTTTTCTGGATCTTACTTTTTTTCTCTTTTTTTTGGCAACATTTTTTCAGCTCTGTCAGAATGGGTGAGGACCATTGGTGAACAGTTATTTTGAACTCTAGCCACAGATCCTTAATTGAATTGAGGTTTGGGCTTTGACTGGGCCATTCTAAAGCTGACCATACATGTAACAATGTTAGATCTACCAATAAATATGTAATGCCAAAAAGTAGAATTTTGGTCTCATCAGATTTGAAAGATTATATTTCCTGTTTCTTTTATTATATTCTAAACAGAATTTGAGATATTTTAACAGTGTTAAAAGTGGTTTCTTCTCATAATTCTTTGATTGTTAAAAAAAAAGGTTTTGTAGGATCTGCAAACTGAAAAAGGATCTCCAAACTTCAGCCCCAGGGATGGATAAAGCCCTTTGCTAACCTTTATCTGGCCCTTGGGCACTACTCCTACCAATGATATGAGGCACTATTTCTTACACTGATACCAATAATGGGACACTATTTATCCCACTAAAACCAATGATGGGGCACTATCCCTCCCACTGACACCAACGATGGGGACTATTCCTCCCACTAATATCAATGATGGGGCACTATTCATCCCACTGACACCAATGATGGGACACTATTCCTCCCACTGACACCAATGATGGGGCACTATTCCTCCCTCTGACACCAATGATGGGGCACTTTTTCTCTATTTGACACCAATGATGGGGAACTATTCCTCCTACTAATACCAATGATGGGGCACTATTCCTCCTACTAATACCAATGATGGAGTACTATTCCTCATACTAATACCAATGATGAGGCACTATTCCTCCTACTAATACCAATTATGGGGCACTATTTCTCCTCCTACTGACCACCAACCCTAAGACCACGTTTATTCTCACTAATGCTGGGCCTAGGACATTTTCTACCTTCACTGGCCACATTCCGCCCCCCCACCATAATACTTTAGATTTTTATTTGTTAATAATTTGGATAACAATGTAGCTTTCTCCACTACAATGCTATGGCTCCTTTTTGGTAGATCAGCAACATAAAATCCCAATTAAAATAATTTTCAGTTTTAATTTCCTGTTCTGACACAAAAAAAAATAAAGTCTAAAGAGGATAAAGGCTTATGCAAAACACTCTAACATCTCTTTCTTATCTTCTGTCAACAAAATAAAAGTGAACAGGCAATACATCTGAATACCTTTCAAATTCCGAGTAAAACAAGAAGGGCTTCCCAAATGTTTAAAATTCAGTTGGTAATATTGGAAATCAACTAGATGCAACATTCACTACAGCAGGTGAATAGAAAATAACAAAAACAGTATTATCTTTATCTGGGTCATCTTTGCTCATACCTTATAAATAATAATATATTTTGAGGAACTGAAGACAGACGAGATTGAATATTCTATTATCTCCGGCTGCCAGAGAAAATTATGGGAAACAAATATAACAGAATTGTGTTGAGTAGATGCTAAAAGAAAACATCTCCAACTGAATGCATCTAATTATGTTAAGGACAATGAGGAATAAATATCATGTGATGTTGAGTTGACCAGAAGCAATCAGGTTGTTGCTCCAGCAAGAGCACTTACTTGCTTTTTGCTTTCATGATAATTCCCTGAACACACTGTGCAGTATTTGAATCCCATTATTCTTGCCCTGGTTTCCACACACTTAGACAAAGAATCAAATCAGAGCCATATGTTCAGATATACCTAGACATTATTACTTGAATAAATTTATAGAGCTGGGGTAATTAAATAGTTCTACATTACCCCTGATAAACAAAATCACAACTATATTTTCTTACTTTGCCAAATATAAAATGCATTCACTGCTGGCTTATAAATAACACTTAACTTTGTTTTGAAATGTTTACAAAAAGTTAAAAAGGACACAAGAATTCTGACAGAATATTCTTCTTTGCTTTTAGAAAATGAAAAAAAGAAAACTAATGCAATTATCTCATCTAAAGAATGGTGAGCTGCAATCTCCTGTATATATTTTTTGCTCTCGGGTTTAGGTATGCTTTAACCACCCTTATGCAAACACTAAATCCTTACGTCCTAAACGGAATCCAAACACTTGTCTTGACCTTGGCTCTTTGTAGTATCAAAGGTTTTTTTTTCTTCCATTAAAATTTTATAAAGAATATACACAATACAAAAATGTAAAAAAAAGAGAAACGAATAATGAAAAATAAAAAAAAAACAGGAAACAGTAACATAATAAAAAAAAGTGTACCCCAATGAGGGTGTTCCCCCTAAACAATCATTAGTTCGGTCTCTTGGAAATAAAAAGAAAAAACATCCCTAGAGAGCTCGGCAATAGTATCAGAAAACAAAAAGGAGGCCCCCACATTGTGATCATACATTTACAGCCACTATAATGAAGGTCATCCTGAATCCACATCCTCGGTATCAGAATAGAGACTTAGCCAAGGAAGTAAGCTTCAGGGTAACCACCTTGGCATGGCACTCAAGAGGAAAAAAAAGGGGGGGGGGGGGGGGGGGTAGTATCATAGGTTTACAGTAGCATCTATAAATTATAAAGTTGATTCACTGTAAGCTGAGGCACAAAAGAGGTTTCTAAGACATCTATAAATACAAATAAAGTATTTCTATATACAGGGTCGATGCTTCCACTAGACAGCCTCCTAGGGCGCAGTGCTACCTAGGGGCACCTGGGTGCAGCACAGGCTAGCACTCTCTGTGTTGCCTATGGACCTTTTGTATGAATTCTTCATTCTCTGCAGAGTCCTCCTCTCCTCAAACACAGGGAATGATGAGGGAATGATGGTATCTTTACTCTGCACAATTGTCTCACAGCCTGTCCACACACACATGACCATTTAGTGTGTATATAAAGTTATGTTCAAAATAATAGCAGTCAGACATCACTAACCGGATCAACCACTGTTTTTGGTAGAAATTATATATTTCTACATGTCAAATAATTTACTAGCAGGTGTAGTAGAGTAATAGAAATCCAACAGACCCAACAGTCATGACTTGCATGCTGCTGATTCTGTGTAATTGAATCACTAATTGAAAGGGGCATGTTCAAAATAATAGCAGTGTGGAGTTCTATTAGTGAGGTCATTCATTCTTTGAAAAACAGGTGGCAATTATTGCCCTTATTTAAGGAGGGAAGGCAGCAAATGTACATGCTGGTTACAGTGCAGTTCTCTCTGAAATTCTCAGGAAAATGGGTCCTTCCAGACATTGTTCAGAAGAACAGCGTGCATTGATTAAAAAGTTGATTGGAGAGGGGAAAACATATAAAAGAAGTGCAGAAAATGATAGGCTGCTCAGCTAAAATGATCGCAAATGCTTTAAAATGGCGACCAAAACCTGAAAGACATGGAAGAAAGCGAAAAAACCATTCGAGTGGATAGAAGAATAGCCAGAATTGCAAGGACTCAGCCAACAATCAGCTCCAAAAAGGTCAAAGAAGGTCTAAAGTTACCTGTGAGTACTGTTACAATTAGAAGACGCCTATGTGAAGCCAAGCTATCTGCAAGAAGACCCCGCAAAGTCCCACTGTTGAAAAAAAAAAAAAACGTGCTGAAGAGCTTACAATTTGCCAAAGAGCACATTGACTGGCCTAAAGAGAAATGACGCAACATTTTGTGGACTGATGAAAGTAAGATTGTTATTTTTGGGTCTAGTGGCCAGAGACAGTTGTCAGATGACCCCCAAACACTGAATTCAAGCCACAGTACACTATAAAGACAATGAAGCATGGTTGTGCAAGCATCATGATATGGGGATGTTTCTCATACTATGGTGTTGGGCCTAAAAGGGCGAAAGAAAAACAAAAAGGAACTGGAATGCATCAAAAACAGGCATGCAGTGCTTGCCCAGGATTTGCACTGCAGGTCACCATCACAAGCAAAGGCAAGGTGAAACTTCCAGCAAGGAAGTCTGCACAAGCAAAGAGGGGAGAGACTGGGAAGACCAAGTAATATTGGCATGTGACATCATCAATAACCCCCAGACACAGTCGGGAGTAGGCACAACTCTCCCTCCTCTTGCTCCAGGCCAGTCACAGAAATGTTGTTTAGATGGATTACCATTCAGTAGCCCAGGCTGCGGACACCATTATTAAAGCTGGAAAGAAATCAGGAACACATTCTTTTAACTGGAGTAAGACATTGAGGCCTTTTTTCCCTCAGGGACAGTCCCCAAAAATCTGGGACTGTCCTGGGAAACTGGGGAACTCTGGTCACCTTAAGCAAAGGAGACACCCCCAAACTGGCAGCCAAGGACAGTGGCTTTGGACTTCTGGCTACAGGAGGTAAGGGATATTAAGAAGAAATGGACTACACATAATAGGTATGTGTGGACCTCCTCTTCTAAAAATAAAAAAAAAAAAAAAAAAAAAAAGGAAGAGGATATCACTTTACTAATACAGTTATTTTTTTTACATTTGTGTTCCACTGGGGAGATCTCTTCACCTCCTGTCCCTTAGCTGCAGCAATAAGTGAGAGGAAATCCATTAAAAGCGAGGGAACCCCTGGCTGTCACCAGGTTCTAGTGTCCCCACTGGAAGATTTCCCCCCCATTCTTGTTCTGGTGACCCCTCAAAATTTGGAATTTATTTCACTCTCAGTGATAGCGATGACCAGGACAAATAGAGAGGCTGAATCTTCCTAAAGGGGACACAGACAGCAATAAGAACCCCGACAGGTTTTCTAATCCCTCTCCACTCTACCTCCAATAGAAGACTGGAAAAACATTCCCTGGTCTGATGAGTCTTGATTTCCCTAGAGATGGTTGCGCGTGTAAATCCCAGTAGATCAGCAGTTTTTTAACTACTCAGACCAACCGGTCTGGCACCAACAACCATGCCACATTCGAAGTGGGTCTGAGAAGGACATGTAATGTCTGGGGTGAAGGTCTGAAGGTCGAAACTCACTTAAATCCCCTTTCCTCCCCATTCTGATGCTCAGTTCAGGGGCGGACTGACAACTCATGGGGCCCCCGGGCAATAAGGGATCATGGGGCCCCTGTGTCCTTGCCCAAACTCAAAAAAGCCTATGAAAAAGGTACCAGGGGCATCTCATGGGGCCCCCTACTGACCCCGGGCTCTCGGGCAGTGCCTGAGTTTCCAAATGGTCAGTCCGCCCCTGGCTCGGTTTGAACTTCAGCAAGTAGTCTTCACCATGTCTACATGCCTAAATGCATTGGGTTGCTGCCATGTGATTGGCTGATTAGCAATTCGTGTTACCAAGAAAATTTAACAGGTGTACCTAACAAAGTGGCCGGTGAGTGTATCTAAGGGCTCCTTCACACCGCCTGCATGCTAAATGCTCTGCTTTAGCGTGCAGGCAGCTGTTAGTTTTTGGCTGCAGTGACCCATGAACAGGAAGTTCCACTTTATGTCCTCCTCCCCCCTCCTCTATCATATTTCCACAATAATTTGTTTTGGAGGGAGGGGGGGCAGGTACTTAGTTTTGATAAATACCCACTTCTGATTTAATCGCCTAGGCAATCCAAGCAGAAGTTGCCCCACCCTCTTTGCCCGCAGCCTTCTGGAACATGTAACAAGTCCCAGAAGGCTGCAGGATCATTTACAAAGTGCAATGTAGCTCGCGCATGTACAGTGGGATACCAGATGTAAGTCCACATGGAGTCACAGCTGGCTTCCCTTAGTAAACATGCCGTCACTGAGAACAGCGCTGAATCCCTGGACAGGCAAGTGTCCTTTTATTAAAAGTCAGCAGCTACAGTATTTGTAGCTGCTCACTTTTATTTTTTTCCTTTTAGGGTGAAGATCTGCTTTAAACTATATTTAGCCTTTAAGTATAGATCAACTTTAGGTTAACATTTCAGTATAAGGCTGTGGTTAAATGCTGTGTGTTGGAATCTTCATTCACTTTGTATAAATGATGCCTATGATTGATATGTTATTTGCAGATTGCAGGAATTCTGTTACATACAGTTACTAGAATATAAAATGTTGCCCATTTTAAAGCAGAATACTGGCCAAACATTTATACAAACATTTGAAATAACTATATGTAAGCTGTTTCATAGCTACGTAAAAAACACAATATACAGTAGTTATAAATCATCTTTTCAAGTATCTATTCATTACCTTCAATTATTATGACCCCAAGGCATGCAATTACTGCTGTCCCAACGATCATAGTCAGAAACAGGCCAAATGGAACTGCAGACAGTGCTACAAAGACCAGAAGTGAGAGGGACATGAATGGGTGCTCTTCCAAATACTGTCCAATGGGGGAGTTCATGAAGGCGACCACCTAAGTGAAGCAAAGTAGCAGGTTGAAGAAATGCTAAAACTACTGAAAATTACAGCAGACTACTGCAGATAAATCAAATATATGCTAGAAGGGATTTTAGTTTTACACCCACACAAAAAGAGTATTTTGCTTCCAGCAAATGTTGACACAAGCAAATAAAATTCACCCACTTACAATAATATCTGTTTTATAGTGGTTATCATTCTCTACGCCACTTTATTCATAAATGTATGCTAACAGACAACTTGAACAGCCAATTACAAAATAAGGGACGAATCCCAACCACGGCACTACCTGTTAAGAGTTTGCATGTTCTCCCCGTGCCTGCGTGGGTTTCCTCCGGGTACTCCGGTTTTTCTCCCACACTACAAAGACATGCTGGTAGGTAAATTGGCTCTTGTATAAATTGGCCCTAGTATGTGTATGTATGAATATGAGTTAGGATCCTTAGAGTATACTCTCTTTGAGGGCAGGAACTGATGTGAATGTACACTATATATGTAAAGTGATGCCTACATTGACGCCGCTATGTAAGTACCTGTAATAAATAAAATAAATAAGGGTCTACCTCTACCTGCCACTGATGTACTATGGTTTTTAAAGTGTTCAGTGAAGTGCAGGCCAGGAGTTCTCCTTTAATATATTCAGGCTTAAAAAAATACTCAAATAATGTAATGAGAAGATCCCCCCTACAACAAAGATTACGGACCCTTCTTGGCAGAAAAAAAATTATAGCAAGAAAAACTGTGTGGCCATTTGTTGGAGGAGGAGGAATAAGCAGAGTCTCACCCTCTCATATGGTGTCTATTTAAGTGCCATGGGAGTGGATGTAACTCTCCTCTCCCTTATTTTTTCTTTTTACTTTTTCTGGAAACACACAAAGTGGTTGTAAAGTCTGAGGGTTTTTTTACCGTCATGCATTTTATGCATGAAGGTAAAACAACCTTCAGTGCACAGCTTCCCCTTCAGCTGCCCCAGTACTTACCTGAGCCCGATCTCGATCCAGCAATGTGCACGAGAGCAGCAGCTCTTCTGAGTCTCTTTCTCCTCTTTGGCTGAGCCATTGGCTCCCGCTGCTGTCAATCACAGCCAGTGAGGAGGGAGTGGGGGGTTGGGGCTGAGCCGTGCTCTGTGTGTCTTTCAGATACACAGAGTCGGCTCAGGAGCGAGCAGACATGAGTGCCTCAGAGCAAGTAGCTTGCTCTGGGGGCACTCAGCAGGGGGAGGAGCCAGGAGCACAGAAAGGGGACGCAAGAAGAGGAGGATCAGGACTGCTCTGTGCAAAACCATTGCACAGAGCAGGTAAGTATGACATACAACATGCAAAGCAGGGAGAAAGAACAAACACATCTAGTAGTAAAAGCAGCACATATAACACATTGTTAGGCACACCTAGATATTAACCCCTTTCCAGTCAATGTCGTTAGTACAGTGAGAGTGCATAATATTAGCACTGATCATTGTATTAGTGTCACTGGTGATGTCAGTGGCAGTTACTCAGTTCTCAATTAGTGTCATGTTGCCCGCTGCACTATCCCAGTCCCACTATAAATTCCAGTATATATATATATATCTATATATATAGAGATATATATATATAGATATATATAGATATAGATAGATAGATAGATAGATAGATAGATAGATAGATAGATAGATAGATAGATAATCACAGTTTGTAGGCACTATAGCTTTCACACAAACCTATCAATATACACATACTGGATTTATTTTTAATCAAAGGCGTGTAGAAGTATACTTTTTGTCCTAAATTTATAAAAAAAATTTTTTTTACATCTTTTTATTGGATATGTCTTATAGCAGAAAGTAAAAAATATTGTTTTTTTTTAATTTTCAGGTTTTTTTCATTAAAAAAAAAAAAGTGGTGAAAAAAAGCAAGCTCTATTTCTGTGAAAAAAAGGTATGAATAGCAAAAAAAATGCTCTGGTCATGAAGGGGATAAAATCATCTGGACCTCAAGTGGACAACTCCATCTCATTTTGGTTTTGGACCAAGAATACTTAATAGGACTAGTGTTTTATACTGTTACCTGTCTGCAAGAGATAGGGTTAACAGTCTACTCTCATTCCCTCTCCTTTCACTGATTTTATTCATTATTTCATCTGAAGCTTTCTTGCATTCTGTGAGATTAAACCCTGATATGTGTGGTGTACATATTAATCATCAAAAACACAAGCTGGCAGCCTATGCCAATGCTTTTCTTTTCTTTATCCAACAAGTATCCATATCCATTCATAATCCTTTGAAAGAGCTAGAGTGTTACCACAAACTTTCAGATTTTACTTTTATGGAAATCTGTAGTTATGAATATTAGTTTCTTCCGCTCTAAAGCCTCTTCTTTGGGCTCCTACTTATTTCAGTGACAGCAGGAAAAAAATGGAGATATTTGGAAATACTACATGCTGGGTCACTATATTTAAAACGAATTACGGTCCAATCTTACAGTAAGTATAAGTAACCCTAGAGGTTCACACCTAGGCGTTTTCTGCAGCGTTTTGGAGAAACGTAGTACAGTCCATTTAACATGATTTCCTATGGGACATGTTCACATCTGCGCGTTTTCACCCGATTCCTTTTCTTGGAAAGGGTCAAGGACTTTTTTTTAAATGCACAAAGTTGAGCTTTTGGTTCCATAGACTTTGATTGATATGCTGCAGAAAAGCAGCGTTTTGCGTTTTAAACCTGCGTAGCAGGAAAGATTTAAATCAATGAAAACAAAAGCAAAACGCATCAAAAACACAGCAAAAACACGTAAAAAACACAGGTGCAAAAACACAAAAAGCAACGCAAAATGCAATGCATAAACAGCTCAAATGCAACCTGCATAGGTGTGAACCTAGCCTAGGTACAGTACGATCCTGGAAGAAAATGTTCTGTTCATGTGTGGGGAGAATAAATATTTTAAAAAAAGGAAATATACAATGCTTCCCTTGTTTATTAATATCAGTTGCTACCTATATAAAATTGTGCTTTTTTAAAAAAAAACTATAATTAAGATTTCAAAACAGTTTTTTTGGAGCTCAAAACATCCTGGAATCTCCGCTTTAATAATATCTGATATAGCAGACTATGCCTGATTTTAGAAGATACTTCATTCCTATATTGTTGACAAGATTTATAGACATTAGACAATATTACAAAAAATGGGTTGCTATGGAAATAGTGGAATAAATATTTCAGGACTTTTTGATTACCTCTTTGTTGTAGAAACTTACAAGGCTGGTGCTACGTCAGTGGGACTTTCTCCATAAGTGTGTCATATGATGCCCTAATTCACCATTAATGGCCATAATATGTTTCCTTCAGGCCTGAATGATAAGTGTTTTTTTAAAATGGACACAAGATAACATATTGTGCCTTCATTGTTTTTAAAGCCCTGGTCACATCGGGTGCGACTTCGCATGTAGCCCTGCGACTTACAAATCGTCTGCCAAGGCGCACTCTATTGTCCGCTATTAAAGCAGTTATATTGGTGCGGTTCCAACTTGGTCGGAGCCACGTCGATTTCTAAAGTAGTGCATGCATCTATAATCAGATGTCTTGCAAATCGCAATTAAATTGTCAGGTCACCCGATTTTGAAATCGTGCGACTTCACTGTAAGTTGCATGATTTCAAAATCGGCTTTGATGTGACCGGTGGGTAAGGGTCATTTGCTGCTTTCCTTGGTAGATTTAACCACTTGCCTACCAGGCACTTATACTTTCAGCGCTGCCGCACTTTGATTGACAATTGCACGGTCATGCAACATTGTACCCATATGAAATTTTGATCATTTTTTTCTCACAAATAGAGATTTCTTTTGGTGGTATTTAATCGCCACTGGGCGCTTTACTTTTTGCGCTATAAATAAAAAAAATTGCAAAAAATTTGAAAAAAAAAAAGTTTCTTTGTTTCTATTATAAAATTTTTCAAACAGGTAATTTTTCTCCTTCACTGATGTGCATTGATGAGGCGGCACGGATGGGCATTTATAGGCGGCACTGATGGGCACTGATAGGCAGCACTAAAGGGCACTGATAGGCAGTACTGAGGTGGCACGGATAGGCGGCACTGATAGACAGCACTAATGAGGTGTCACGGATAGGCGGCACTAATATGCAGCACTGATAGGCGGCACTGATAGGTGACACTGATGATGGGTACTGATAGACGGCACTGACTGGCGGCACTGACTGGCACAGCCGCTGGGCACTGACTGGTGGCACTGACTGACAGCACTGCTGGGCTGCACTGGTGGGTGGCACTGGTGGGCAGCACTGGTGGGTGGGCACAGGTGGGTGGTACTGGTGGGCACAGGTGGGTGGGCACAGGTGGGTGGCACTGCTGGGCACAGGTAGGTGCCACTTCTGGGCACAGGTGTGTGACACTGCAGAGTGGCACAGGTGGGTGCACTGCTGGGCACAGGTGGGTGCACTGCTGGGCACAGGTGGGTGGCACCTCTGGGCACCGGTGGGCGGAGCTAGTGGGCACACTTCTGGGCACAGGTGGCGGAGGAGCTAGTGGGCGCTCTGCTGGGTACAGGTGGGCGTAACTTGCGGGTGGCACTGCTGGGCACCGATCATCAGGGCACTGATCATCAGTGCCCTGATGATCGGTGCCGATCCTCGCTCTGACAACTGCTGGTTCTCGGCAGTACTTTCCTCACGATCTGACAGCGTGAGGAAAGTGCAGCCGAGAACCGGCACTTGCATTTCCCTGTGATCAGCGTGTCATTGGACACCGCTGATCACGTGGTAAAAGGCCGCTGTGATTGGCCTTTTACCACATCACGTGATCAGCTGTGTCCATAGGACACAGCGATCACGGAGATCGCCGGATGCGCGCCCCCTGACGTCCACCCAGAACTGGCCGGCCGCAGTGCAGCCGTCATTCGGCTATTTGCGGTCGGCAACTAGTTAAGGGAAAGGTCAGGATTTTTTCCTAGGAGATTCAAGGATGTACAGCCCAGTCAAGCATTTTATACTCTCTTCCTATCATGTAGATATCGGATCTAAACCATATAGAGTTTTTTTCTTGTATGTATTGTGCTATCTTAAAATGAGGGTTGCCAACTTTTCCAGGCTATTTGG